CGGCCATTCATGATGGTACTTTCGGATAGACGCCGGGTCATTAGACCAGAAAAACAAGTGGGTACATTTACAAAAAAAAGCGCGGGTGATCGGGTTCCCTATGATTCAACCGTAGATACCCTAAACACAATTGGTTCTGTTTGTTGTATTGATGTGTTGGCATGAATATGAAACTGAAAATCAAGCTTGCTTACCTCTTGATGTTCTAATGAAGTTTTCCGTCGGGCTCTTCAGACTTTCTGCACAGTCACTGTCCACATTTATTTGTTCATGTTCATATCCCACTACCGAAGCTCAACGACGACAACTTGCACACGTGTCCTAATATCAGTTTTCCTGACTGACTATACTTCATCCTACTAATCGGTTCGCCTCTAGAGACTTCTCAATTGACCACAACCAGACTAGGGTTAATCCAGCCCGTGCTCAGACATTGTCCGTTTAGCACTTGACCTCATATGGTAAACTCTGTTCGGTCTGTCATGAAAGTGTTTCGCTTTAGTTTTGGTCTCAACACAATAATCTATAGTGATTCAGAGTGAAGTTATGTATACTTAGAAAACAAAAAAAGTTGTCTGTCGCATCGCTTGATACGGTGAGGAAGAGGTGGGTGATTACGAAACATTGGATCCTAGGAAAAAACAAGCATAGCCGGTCAAGAAGCATTGTTTGAACCATGCGGGATAGGTGTAATGAACTTGATGTTGACAACCTATCCAGCGTACTGTCAGTACGAAACTAGTTTTCACGCATGCTATGGATTCCGATCGCTCCCTTTGCCTATGATTGATATTTACAGCCCTACTCTTGCTCTTCTCTCGCCCCGGAAAAGAAAAACCTGCTGTGTAAATCGATCAGTTAAGCACTAATTCATTAGATATTGTGAATCGCCGGGGAAGGGGAGGGAAGAAACGAACGTGGTGTTGGTGATGACTGGGGATTCTCATCCGTACCTTAACATGCTTAATTGCACACCTAAGCAATGCTATACCTCCATAAAAGAGACGGCAAGCAGTGAAACATTCTATTAGAAGCTCCTCTCAAACTTTAATAACGGGATAGGCTTGAATGATCAAGCGAATGAGCCTTATGTATTCTAACCTGCTTCTGAATGTGGTTAACTTTTTAAGCATCAAGTGTATTTTTTACCAGTCTGTCATCTTTACCGCATCAAATGGACCTATTAACTGTCAGTGACATGATTTGTCTTCCCCTGCTCTCCGCTCTGTCTTTGACTCGCTGGCTTGTTCTGATTCGCCTTCATTGGTTTCAAACTTCCTATTCTCCTATGCGTTCATACTCTGTTATCTCTGAGTGCAAGTCACTAATTCCGATGTTAGTAAACTTTTTGAAAATGAATGATCAAATATCGCCTATCACACGAAATGTGTTTGATGGATGTTGTGCTTGCCCAGTCCCCAACTTTCACGGACTCTTCCATCCGTCCTCCTCTGTTTTTGACATGACGACGGTAAACAAGACGTGTTGACCACTTGTCGTCTAGGTCTCCGAAGCGACTGCAACAACCAGTCCCATCAACCGGGACGATTCTGCCCATAGCAATCAATTTTCATAATTTGCATCGTTAGTTGTTTCCTGCCTTGGTTGATAGATCTGGAGTATGGAACGAATGAGCCTCTGAGGGAGGAAGGGTAGTCTATGATGAGTTTGTTTTCTAGAATGTCAATCAATCACTTCAAAACCAATGCACTCCCGTAGCTCAACCGATCTGCTCTGGTTGCACTAAATGAACGTACGGAATTATGAGTTAACGCTGTAGACTATGAGGTAGACACATTTACGCAGTTGCTGGTGTGCGTATTCTTCTTAATCCGATTTTAGTCTCATCTGAGAGTTGCGATAGAGAAAAACCCTCACGGTGTATGTTATGTTAAAGGTCTCTATGACTTTGACCATGAGAAAAGTGTATAACCTATTCCAATTCTCCATGCACAATTCTACGCCGCACTACTACCTGGATCATTCACCGAATGATCAAATATTTGCATACGCGCATTGATTAGGGGTGATGAACGACTTCCTTTTCACTGGCCTGTTATCGATGGGTTGGCAAATTACCGTCAGAGATTTCGGAAATTCTGTATGGTGTAGATACTTAACCGACGCACCCGAGTTCCCCGAGGTTTAGCGTAGTGTTCATTCTGATCGTCAGAAAGGTAAAGAGATAAAACTGACTTCACATACCTATGGGATTCTGACTATTCAAAGTCATCTGACGGCATTCAAAACCCTTCGGTTTCTAGATGACAAGTTGATGGCAAAAATATATGCTTGAACTTTAGCTGACTGTTCATCAGTCCCCTCAGAATCGCGGTTCTTTTTCATCGACCACGTATGTGTACATTCACATGCGTTCACGTCCCCTCAAAATTAAACACATCTGCGCACACACGAATTCCGGGTATTCCCGATATCAGTTGCAATCGAGATCAGTCGGTTTGTGTGCCACGGAGAACGTCGCATTTCGGATGGCAGAAAATAATGCTTGTCACCTGTCGAGCTGCATTACGGACGGGATCTTAGGGAAAGTGAATGCAGGGAAAGCTGCACGGTGGAGACGAGGTTGGTTGTTTGACGGATCGATCAGGTAGTTGAACCCGTGCGAGTGCGATGCGGTGTAGATGGATTGTCTACGTGTCCCAAAGTTAGCTCGGAGTGCCATGTCATATCAGGTTGGTTGTGATCAACTCGACTTATTGGACAGAGAAAGCGAAAACGAAAGAGGTGATTCTCCACACTTGATTCCCGTATCTGCTAGTTGAATGTGCCGTAAGGGGTACGCCACAAATCATTTTCTGGGCAACTTGCTTGATGGGATATTCTATGGCTGCTAAAAGGTTAATTGAATTCGAAAATTTCGGACTAGGACTGTAAGCACCAGAAATCGTGTGTCTTTGAATCGAAAACGCATGTATGTGTTCGTCTTCGTGTGTGAGGTAGAGAGAACCATACACAATCATCGACAATCCAGCGAACTGGTGGAAACTGACACAGATCACATTCGGCTTTGATATGAACCATGAATAGTCTGTCGCTTGCTGTTACCCCCTTGTCAGATCCTCTCGCCACTCCTGAGAGAGAATATAATCGGTCCTCTGCTTGTGACCAAAACCATAAACGGTAATATCCCTTCTCCCCTACAGACTACACTAAACCAGATATATGCGGCGTCTAACGACTGCTGACTGTGCGATAAATATTTTTCTCCGGGAGCGGTCTGTACGATTAGGCTGGCCTGTGGTGACGTATCCTACCAGCTACCAGCTCTCAGCAAGCTCGGAGCTAATTGGATCCGGTTCTCTGAAGTCTGGTTACGTTCGGTTCGGTCAGGAATATTTCGCCGAACAAAATTGGCGAAAAGCTATTTCCATATCATGTGGTTTTCAGTGTGTACCGGATCTGACGTCTCTCCCTAGTGAATGTCAAAACGTAAACCATTTCCGATGGGCATATTAAATGGATAGTGAGCATGCAATACGGTCATATATTTCATGCTCCTACGAGTTATGATGTCCGACCAGATAACCCGCGAACTCGCGATTGTAAGGTCGCAAAGTGAGTGAAACATACACACGGCTGCATAGACCATTCAAAAAAATGCATGTAACTTTTCGAGAATACGGTTTTTTGGTTGGCACAGCTCCGTCGGGGATAAATTATTTTAAACTTAGAATATGACAAGTAGTGGTCAACTCTGAGTGACTTCAACTGAATTCATATAACTAAAGTTTATTTCGGCCCGATATTTGTGTAGAAGCTGGTTGCGAAATAGGGAATGGGTAAATAATTCAAGTTATAATCTTGCTGGTATCAGATTTTGCGCGTTCGTATTTTTTTAACTATCCATGACCGATGTGATATCCTATCCCCACACTCTAGTTACTGAAATCCAGTGGGTCGAATATCAATCACATTCATCTAACTATACGTCTTCATCACCTGACAGCTGGTTTCTTCAGTTTGGTAGCATGTTATGATGTGAAATAAGGAAATGATTTTTTTCGCGAAATCTGGTCACTTGTGTTCGTATCGATCTCCTGATGCCAACTTTCCAAGAATGACACATAACAAGGTCTGGTTTACACGTTATCCGACCCGCTCCGTAAAATCCATCTATGCCAGGTTGTTGGGTCTTGTCGTTGTAAACAAGATCCGGCTCGGCGGAGGCACAAACGGGGTATCAAAATGAGTTGGCCACTCCAGGTGTATTATTATCGCATCACGTATTACAATCCACGGCTATTTATTGATTTGTGTTCTTCTTCTATATGAAGCAAATTATGAATTTGGACTCATCGCGACAAGTAAATCAACCGGTACCTTGTTTGTGACCTTGGCACCTTAGTGTCAATCGGACCATTTAGATAACCAAACAGATCAATAAGCGATCATCAGATCGGCTTTTAATATTCACCACTTTGTACTTGAGATGCTGTTTACACCTTCTGAATGTCCAATACATATTATCGTCTGATTAGACCGGCTGCTGGCACACCAGGATATCCTGGGGCCAATGCATATTTCTCTACTTGAGAGGGTTCGAATCGCGGTTTTACAGTTCCTCTAATTGTGTAAGTTACCCATGTGTGACCATCCCGATCGCTCAATACAAAAGATACACCCTCAATACAATGGGCATATATTCTCAAGTTGATGGTTTAAGTGGTGCTGTGTGCGTGATAACATTCCATTGAATGGGATTTCGTTCATGATTAGAGAAACTTGGCCTTTTTCGGGCTACATCAATTAAATCATTTGATCACTTCGAATGTGATCCAGGCACAAATTTTCGGTGGTGAACTGAATCAGAATCGGACAGAAGTATTAAAATATCTATCTCAAAATGGAGCTTAACCTCGATCGGGTGTTTTATGAATACAGCTTTGAACCTGTTCTGGTATCAATAGACATACTCTGGAAGGCAGAATGAATAACATAATAACGAACGAGCAGTTTGCAGCAATCCAGCATCGCAAAAGATGCGGTAAGTGAATGAAAACTTTATTTTCATCAGCGAAGCTTTTCAATTTGAGATAGAAATATAAGTTCAATGCTTTTGTTTAGTAAATTTTGGAGAAGCTTTTATGTAATACATTCGCAAATAGTCAAAAGCCTTCGTAAATATGGAACCCAGGCGTGGGCACCACCTCGCCTATGAACACTGTACTCTTTACCAGCTGAGGTACGGGACCACTTGTACCGTTCCAACTTCGCATTCACTTATCCGCCCAGTTCACACATGATGTAACACGTAAACGGTATGCATTTAACGTCAACTGGTAGATCTTACGCTGTACACGGGTGTAAGCGGTGTTCAAGTGTAAGTTGGAATCCCAGCTAGGCCCATTGGATTACAGGAAAATATGTTTGCACCATTCTACTCAGATAAACTCTAAGTGAACTTTGATGGTTTTCTCCTAGAATTTTAGGTGAATTAAGCTCAATTTCGAGGCTGCTAGTTGGGGGCCCTTAGGCACTTCAATTTCGAGTGATCCGGTAAAATTCATCAATTCAAGACAGCTTGGACGCAGGAGCATTCATCACAGTGTCTGATGTAGCGGATGACCAAATCTGTTTACTCCTTCCGAGAAGGATTACACTGTCGGTGGTCCGGATACGTTCATCTTCAAATGGTTTTCATCTCGTTCACCCATCATGAACAAACAACCATGTGTGCATGCGAGTGTGTGTGTGGTTATGGGTTTGGTTGTTCGAAATCATTAGATGCGGTTCCGGCTGGGTTGACCACGCGGATGCGTGCATCTCGTCTCATCAAATTGTGTGCTTATGTGAAGAAACGAGGTGGACGGGAAGGGTATTTGTTTTGTCTCAAATCCATTGACCTGTTGTCTGTTGCTCGACGTTAGTAAACAATTCCCAGATGCGCGTGTGACAGTTGCCGACTTTGTACAAACAGGTAAGCCAGGTACATCACGTCCACCATCGGGGATAGGTTTCATCTACCATCAGTGGACATGGGTTGTGCAGAGTCTCCGAGATGGATTCAATGTTGCATGCAACTAAGGTATGAGTTTCTGTCCACCCACTCTGTTGTACGCTCTAACTGCAACCGTAATTATGGAGTCGACTTCGGCTATTAGTATAAAAGGATCGTTATGTTTAGATGAACTTCTCGGGCACACCGTTCTTGGACAGGAAGCGACGGAATTTAAATCGGTCGACTGCATCGAAGACCGCTTGCAGAGAGAGGAATGTGGAAGTGTTAGGAATAGGAAAAGAACTTCACTGTGCCAGTATTTGGCGAAGGGTGAAAATACGGTCCATACAGCCTCGGTCAGTTCGAAAATGGACCTCATTCCCACGCATTCTATCTTCACGAGCGCAGATAATCGACAGAGTATGATGCGCATGATAAGTTCAGAGATAATGTTGATCAAGGTATTTCCTCTGTGGTTTTCTGTGGTGATCCAGACTTCCGTGACCGCAATCCATGCATGAACAGGTACAGTTTATGTCATCCAATCACCGTTCAGGAAGCTCGACCAATGGTTCACCGGGCGAACATGACATCCGAGTTAGTGCATATGATGCGTCGGTGCAAGCGGTTACGTGGTTGGAGGATGCTCGTTCAACCAATCATATGGACTATTACATTCTATAAAACATGATCTAATTCCATTAATAAACATAAGCATTTGCTGCTATCAATTCCTCGTGTATTTCATTGGTGTCCGCAGTTCGGGTTGGAGCCAATTCAGTTCTGATCAGTACCGTACGGATTCTCGTATTCCTAAATTCAGTACTATTCTGATTACAACATTTTCACAGGAGGGTGTCGCCTTTCTTGTAAATCGGTAAGATGACTGTTTAACATCATTAATTTAGAACCTGTGTGCTATCCCATGCTGAACCTATGGGTTTCGGTAACTCCAAGACTAACGCTGAACCTCCACCATCGAAACGAATATGAACAACTCATCAGGACCGGAGGCCTTGTGCCTGGGAACCCTCCAGTTCAAATGGAGAACTGGCATGTACGCTTCACTCGACCTGGTTCCAACTGTTTTTGTTCAGAACGGAACAAGACACGTTTTCAATGATTCGTCTTCTCTGAATAGTAAATCACGATTTATATTACTGTGATAAAATAGGGGAGGGCGCATATATTACTTTAACAAATTAAAATATTGGATTGGTAAAGTTGAAAGAATGAGGATAATATTTAATGTTTCTGGTATGGTGTTTAGTCCGGATTCGACGAAGATTTGGAGGGGCGGGNGTGGTGAGCCATGGAAGTTTCCACTTTTTGAATTCCTCCATCATTTTGCACTACTATCTCACACACGGAACATGCCTTCATGTTGGATTTTAATCTAAAAGCCTCCATTCCCCACGAACTTCCATTCTCTTGTGGCTAATGCTTAGTACAATCTGAAAATTGTACGGGCAGAAGTGGCCTAAACCTAACTAGCGAACCTTTTTCAATCAAATTCCATGGTTTATCGCACCAATAATGCCGGCAAGTGTAGGACAAAGTCACTACAGCCACTACAATTCAACCTGAACTTTGCTTAGTTCCTATTCTCTTGATTGTATCGGCATTGAGCCGATGGCGGCTGAAATAGCGGAACAACTGATGCGTGAACGGTAGTTGAACATTCAGACTAAACTGGTGACAGATGGGATATGTGAAAACAATGAATGCTACTAGCATTGTCATCCTGTGTAATTGTTTGTTCTAAATGTGGAAGGCTAGCAGTCGTATCTTGCCATAACTCCCTGTGTTTATTCTAAAAAGCGCACAGACCCGAGCATCGCGATATAGGCGCATACAGTAGAGGCATTGGGGTCAGTATATACCGGTGTCTTTCTTTCGGCACCTGGCATAAACAGGAATTACCATGTTGGATGTTTGCGTACCCAAATGCATAGCCACGCACTGGTGCGTGTGCCTGAGGAAATAGAGTGAGAGTCATATTTCCATTTGATATCTGAACTTCCAGGTCTACAGCATCGACAGAAACGATGAACGGATGGTTCTCGTGCCTCGCGAAAACGAAATTATGCACAAGTCCAAAGTTTTGTAGACTTGAACCCATTTGACCCATGGTTGTTTCGTTCCGTTAACATGCCTGTACCTCTTCTCTTACTCACACAAACACACACAGAACCCAACAAACAACCTTTACATATCAGGTAGGTAAGGTGAACGCAAAATTTACCCTGCCCACCGGGAAGCCAATTTCGTCCTATCCTGAGTCTCTATGTATACACATCTGCGTGTAACCAAACGGCAGCGATTCACGGTCAAGGTGATTCATCGTTTACCCGGATATACAATCCTCTATTCACCCCAGTTCCAGTTCGTGTACGAACACACTTCATTAGCGCACTTCTTTTGTAGCTATCATGTGAGCGCTGCACCTGTCGGCGTACACCCAGTAGAAACAAGACAACAACAAAAATGATGGTGATGTGCCTCGGGAGAATTTTGTTGTCACCCTCTCGTCCCTCCTCCCTCTCCTCCCCCTCCAAAAGATTGTGAATTGTAATATTGCTTGTTTTCTAACCTACCTACCAGAAGCCATGCATATATGTTTTACAAATATATGGTTCGTGAGAATTTGACTGAAAACGATGCATTTTTCAAGTATCTTGATCATTTCCCACTCTTCGTGCGTCTATCAATATTTGTATGTTTTATTTGACGTAATTCCTCCGAAACTGGTCTGTGATTCTCTGTCATTTTTATCTATCTTCTAGCTGGTACTTCCGAAACATCTCACGCAAAGATTCCGAGCGTCTGTTGCTATTGAAGGGGAATATTCGAGGCACATTTCTGGTTCGTGAAAGCGAGACAACAGACGGTAAGTTGAGCAATTTATTTAGTGTGTTGATCTCTATCGGGGTGAATGCAAGTTCTTTATATTATACTACCCATAACATCATGTAACAAAAGTGTAAGTAATCTTTGTGAGAATTATGTAGGGTTGCATTATCCTTTTCTCCACATCTTTCTACAATCATTGATGTTTGTCGAGGAGTGGAGTAACTGAGAAGTGTGTCGATTCTAAAAGAGTCGTATCGTCATACCTCAGGTCGGGTTAGGGCCTATGGCAAACTTTCGCCACACTTCACCGTCTTCAGTGGAGTTCGGCAAGGCTGCCCTATATCCCCATTCCTTTTC